AGAGCCTCCGTACCTGTTAGGCACTCTTCCCGTGTCTCTGCCGCCAGCAAAATGTCATCTACATACTGCAACAGAATCAGGTGGGGGTGGAGGGTCCTGAAAGCAGTCAGATCTTGGTGCAGGGCCTCATCAAAGAGGGTGGGGCTGTTCTTGAACCCCTGTGGCAGCCGTGTCCAAGTAAGCTGACCGGAAATTCCCAGATCGGAGTCCTTCCATTCGAAGGTGAACAGGGGCTGACTCTGGTGGTGCAGCTTTAGGCAGAAGAAGGCATCCTTTAGGTCCAATACAGAGTACCAGGTGTGGCTGGGAGACAGGGTGCTCAATAAGTTATAAGGGTTCGGGACCGTGGGGTGGATATCTTCTACCCGCTTGTTGATTTCCCTCAGGTCCTGCACTGGTCTGTAATCCCCGCTCCCAGGTTTCTTAACAGGCAACAGAGGAGTGTTCCAGGCTGACCGGCATGGGATTAATATCCCTTGTTCCAGCAGTCTTTTAATGTGTGGCCTGATTCCTTGGCGGGCTTCGGCTGTCATAGGATATTGCTTGACAGCCACCGGGGTTGCGGTGGCTTTTAGTTCAATAATTAGGGGTGGCTGATGTATGGCCAGCCCCATTCCCCCTGTCTCCGCCCAAGCGTCTGGGTACTTGGCCAGCCACTGATCTATGCCTGTTTGGACAGGATGGGGATCATGATGCAGTCTATATTCATCTTCTAGTTTAAGGGTGAGCACTTGTATAGGTGCTCCTTTAGAATCAGTAACCTTGGCTCCCTTATTTTCAAAATAGATGTGTGCTCCAAGCTTGGTTAAAAGGTCCCGTCCTAGCAGGGGGTAGGGGCAGTCTGGTACATGCAGGAAGGTATGAGTCACCGTTCCTGAAGCCAGCTGAACCTCCCTGTTTGTAGTCCAGTGGTAGCGCTTGGCTCCAGTGGCTCCTTCTACCCGTATTGTTTTCTTGCTAAGTGGGCCAGTCGTCTGGGTGAGGACAGAATGTTGCGCCCCAGTATCTACCATGAAGGTGACTGACTTTCCCCCCACACGAAGAGTTACCCTGGGCTCAGGTGGGGGTTCCTGGCCCCGACCTCCCTAATCGAGGTTAAGGATTTCAGCTTCTTCTTCCCTCTGTTTTTTCTTTTTCTTGGTACAGTCCTTTATCCAGTGTCCTTTTTCCTTGCAATAGGCACACTGGTCTTTCTCTAGTCGGACACGCCCTCTGTCTCCCTTCTTTTCTACTCTGCCCTCATCTTCCTTTCTTACTACTGTGGCCAGGATTCTGCTTAATTCCTTATTTCGCTTTCGATCTCTCATTGCCTCTCTATCTTCTGCCTCTCTTTTCTGTCTTTCTTCTCTTTCTTCTGGCGTCTCTCTCTTGTTAAAAATTCTCTCTGCCTCTCTCAAGAGGTCTCTAAGACCTTGCCCCTGCAAATTTTCTATTCTCTGGAGCTTACTCCTGATATCAGGGGCTGATTGCCATATGAAAGACATCGAAACACTCACTTCTTGGTCGGGGCTATCCGGGTCGAAGGGAGTGTACCTGCGATATGCCTCTTTAAGTCTTTCTAAAAACACAGTGGGTGGCTCATCGGTTCCTTGCATTACTGATCTTACCTTGGCCAAATTGGTGGGGCGCCTCCCTGCCCCTTGGAGGCCCGCTACAAGCACCTGGCGATAAAGACGTAGGTGTTCCCTACCTTCAGCCGTGTTGAAATCCCAAGCAGGTCTGGTGAGGGGAAAGGCAGCCTCGATCTCGTTTGGCAGTTGGGTTGGTCTCCCGTCTGCCCCCGGGACATGCTTTTGGGCTTCCAGAATGACTCTCTGCTTTTCCTCCGTAGTTAGAAGGACTTGCAGGAGCTGTTGGCAATCGTCCCACGTGGGTTGGTGGGTAAGGAGGATAGATTCTATCAGGGCTGTTAGGGCCTGCGGGTCTTGGGAAAAGGACGGGTTATGAGTTTTCCAGTTATACAGGTCTGAAGCGGAGAAGGGCCAATACTGTAACTGGTTTCCTTCCCCTCCTGCGAGTCGGAGGGGCAGGATGTGTGAGGAATCTCCTTGTCCTCTCCTGTCTCTGAGTCGCCCCGCGATGCGGGAGGGAGCGACCTCCGGTCCTTCTGCTTGGGCTTCGTCTGGAACAGCCGCAGCAGCCTGCGTGGGAGGGTGGTAAGGAGGTGGATTCTCACTCAGCAGATCAGTAGGAACACTCTCATCAGGGGGTAGAACAGGCTTTTGTTTTACCACAACAGGACACAAGGAGGTGGTCGAAGGGTCCGGATTAGGGGCAGAAGGGAGGGGGACTCTTCGTGTAGGACTGAGAAAAGGAGTCACCCACGGTGGTGGGTCAAGGGAGAGATTTTCCCAAGTGACTATATAGGCCACTTGGTCCGGATGACCCGTTAGTCCAGGGGAGAAGATCTTAGCTTTAACCTGCAAAATAACATCAGAGTCAAAAGTCCCATCCCGAGGCCAACCAACATTAAACGTTGGCCACTCAGAGGAACAAAAGGTTATCCATTGGTGCTTCTTGATCTCCACAGATTGATTGTGAGCTCGGCTCTTAACTTCTCTCCAGTGATCTAGAGTTAAACTCAGGGGGGTGGTTAGGTGTTGTCCCATTTTGGGGTAATCTAAAATCACAAAGAAACAGACAAACAACAGAAACAACAAAAATAGACAGCCGGCGACAAGGTACCGCTTAGCG